GAGACTCGGAGATGCAGAGCAGCTTGGAGCCTCGCAGTAAACTCATGGATTCAGGTTGGAGTCTCCGTGGCCGGGATTGCCGTCGCAGTCGGTATGGAGGCGAGAAGTGCAGAAGTCAACATTGCTGCACTCAGAGCTGATGAGGCTCTGTCAAATCAGTTCAGAGCGTACTCGGTGCCAGGTGCAAGGCGCACCCCATCAAGTTGGGAGGTTGCCGTGGTACGTGCTTAGCCACCTCGTGCTGAGACCTCGGATGCTTTGGTGCACAGAAGCATACGGCAGCAGACTGCTTGGAGCTGGGTTTGGGTCTGGTGGCCTGGCGTTTCTCGCAGTGGGAGGTTGGGCTTCTCCTTAGCAGCACTATGCACTTGCCTTGACCTTAGAGCCAGTCTTAGAGTCTCTTAATTCCTCGAATCTGTTTTGAGAAGCATCTCGTTTTGACTTGGGCGCACGGGACCTGATTGTTCTTGGCCTGAAACAGAAGGCAGCGCACCGCGTGCTCCTGCTCCCAAGTGGTGCTGCTCCGAGTCTGCGTCTGCGGCTCTGTGTAGGTCGGTGCAATGCCATGCCTTGAAGGCTGTTCATGCTCGACCGCCTCTGCTTCGGAGTCTGTGCTGTGCACGTTCGCGTGAGCCTGCATCCACGCGACTTGATGTAACGAAAACAACAACAGTGATGCCGATGATGAGCATTGTAACTGCAAAGGCGGCAGCACAGATTCGCAGGGTTGTAGCGCCAGAACATGACAGTAGAAGTCAAAGTGCATGGGCCACAGGCACGGTCAGCCTCCAACAAGCATGATCACAACACTTGAGGTCTCCTGAGGGCAGTCACGATGGTGATCGTGATAGACTCGAAGCTTTCAACACAAGATCCGCTCCAAGGAGGGGACAAACTGGAGCCACGGTGCTTGAATTGCAAGAACGCTCGCCGACCTTAGGTTTAGTGGGGCTACCAGCTGGCCCTTGACCTCCGAAGCCCGAGCACTGAGCCCCTCAGCACAGCACAACAGCGCAGGTACTCGAGCTCGTCTTCGGTCACGTTCTCAGCCAAGCTTGAAACAGGCCCATGGCGACCAAGCTCAGCCGAGGCTTCCTTCGGCCGAACCACTCCGAGTTCTCCTGGGATCTCTTCCTGCCTGGTTCCCACAGCGAAAGAAGACGCAGAGGGAGCGTGCGACTCCCACTCCCCGAACCGAGGACGGACACACTGGCCACGCCCTCAAAAGGACCAGAGCCAGCAGGTTTTTCTGCACTCAAAGCAGTAGTCCGAGGTTGTCTTGCTGGGCTCCTTCTGCTTGTCGGGCCTGCTCTACCTCTACGTCTGCAGTCTGGAGGCCGAAGGCCAAGTAGGATCGAAGATCCGTGGAGCCTCAAATTCCGCTCCTCACGGTCGATGCCACTCTGTCACGCTGCAAACCTCGTCCCGACAGGTATTGCTTGTTAGCGCGGCGCGCTTCGGCTGGGCGGCGTGCACCGCTGCAGCCAGGCGGAGACCGGAAAATTGAGCGCCCGCTGCAGAACTAGTAGCACGGAGAATCACGGAGATCGCAGACTGCCAACATGTGCTGCCGTGCTTTTTTTTGACTGTTATAAAGTGCCGGCGAATTTCGCCAGCGTCAAGACGGCGTAGTTTGCACATCACATTTCTATTTTGCGGCATGCGACTCCCAGTGTCAGGACCTTATGTCTAGCTTCCTCTTGGACAGGGGGACCCCTGATGCCAAGCTGAGGTGCCCAAGCAGTGCTTTCTTGGCACTTCTTGGCCTCGCCCAGCCAGGTTGGAGTGAGGGAGAACGGATTAGGCGAAGGGCTGTGGGGTGCCCGCCCTGACAATTGTCAACCCAGTGGTTCGCGCCCTTAAGGATGTTTGTTTTCTACGTTCGTTTGTCCTGAGAGGTGGAGCCGTTCGGTCCGTCGGCGTCCGAGCCGATGCTGCCGGATCCCACGGCTGTAGCATGGTGAAAGGCGGCCTCGCCTTCAAGCACCAAGTGGCTGCCCCTCTGTAACTGCTCCACTTAGCAGGTCGACAGGTTTCATCTTGCTGTGCAGACTTTGGAGGGATGCCTCTGTGGGAGGCGCTCGATCCCGGGAAGGCTTTCACTTCGCAGCGCGGCCCGGGAGCCTAGCACTGAAGCAAAGAACAGGAGGCGGAGCTTCGCAGGCCACCTGCGAGTAGCACACATCCATTACCGGTTCACCACCGGTGCTTCATCAACATATTGATTTTCACGACACATCAGGTGCAAGTGTACCGGCGAGGAGTCGGTGCTCTCTGAGGAATGTGGGGAGCAAGCGGGAGTGTCTCTGCTGGCACTTTGCGTCAAAGCCATGTCGAAGGCCGCAGGCATGAACACGAGGAGATGACGATAATGAAATGGGATGTAGCAGGTAGCAGAAGTTTTTTTTGGTGCACTGTGCCTCCGGAATTGCTGAGCTGAGGATCGGAAATTCGATATTACTCGCCTGCCCGTCGAGGCGCCAGCCCTTGCAAGAGTCGGAACGGCATTCCGTAGCTCTCGGCTCGGCTGAGCTCGCTTCTTTCACCGGCATTCGACGCCAGTGCGACGGCTCTCGTTCTGCGTGTACCAGGATGATGGATACGGGAGATCCACGATCGTACCGGGCTGCCGCTGCATGGTTTTAGCCCCAGGTTCTTCAGACGGCAGTGTCCAGTGTCCAGTGAGTCGGACCGGAGTTTGGCTGAAAGCTTTGCCGAAGAGAGAGACAGAGAGAGGCTGCTTCTGTTGGGGGAGTGAAACCCAGAATTCCGGGAGAAACCTCCGCATGATTTTGTGGGCCCCCTCAATCTACCAAGGTCATGGACATGAGCGAACGCAGTGCCAGGCAGGGGGAAAGTGCAACATCGCCACAGTCGGCATGTTGGCATTCTGCAGCACAGCCTGGCTCTCTGCTCTCAGCCCTCCCTTGGGGGCTTTGGGCTTCCGAGTGTCTGACAGGCCCGGTGTTTCAAAAGCAAGGGAGCTGGCAGCAGGAAGAGCGAGATCCGCGCCTCCCACAGACACTCGGATTTCGAATTCGTCCAACTCTGAATTCCATGGAGGCATTTGCGATTGCAGCCGTGCGCAGGTGATTGCAGAGGATTGCCATCCATTTGGTGCTTCCTACCTTCGTCGCTGGCAGGCCTGCAAGTGCAAAAAGGCGCCTGCAGCTCTTGTGCGAAGCTCAAGGGCAGAGACTCAGAGACGCAACGGACTTTGCGTCCGTTGCAGGAGCAGCACTTGTCTTTCGACTGTGGAAAGAGGCTGCTCTGCTGATCTCGGATAAGAACTTCGGGGATGTTCTGGGGTCGCCAAGAGCCAGGGCCACCCTGCGCAAGTTCAGCCCCAACGACCCCGAGGCAGATTGGGGCGATTTGCGGGTCTTAGCTGCTCTGCACCTTTCAGTTGGGATAGCACTCGTACTGCAGCTTCTGCGGCAGTGGCGGCAGGTGAAGGGAAGCGGCTGCCGGTGCCTCTCCGAGTCGGAGCTGATGAGGACCCGAGGGACCCGCCCTGCCCCGCATCGCCCCGCATGGCCCCGCATCGCCCCGCTCTGACTGCTGCTCTGACGATCGCGTTGCGCCGCTGTCGCAGTAACAAGAGCTTCGTGGGTGGCTTGACTTGTCTCCAGCATCCTCCCCAAGTCTGGCCGCCGGCACTGGCATCGTAGCAGATCGTGATCCAAGGTGACTTGATGGACACGCCTCTGCCGATCAGCAAAGTTCCAGAGCCGCTGGAAGACGAGCCAGTAAAGACACGGCCGCCGCCGACGTCCGACTCCTCCGAGGTGCTGTGGACTCCCCAGATCGCATCGGTCCCGAACATTTCCCGTCCTGGCTTGTCCAGTTGTTCTGTACACTGCAGGGAGACCCCCAAATGCAGCCTGCCAGCAAGAAGAGCGAAGAGGAAATGCTCGCGAGAGGTCCTTGCTGACTTGAGGCAAGGTGGATCCACCGGAGGGCTTCGCTTTTGGCGACATCGTTCGCATCGAGAAGATGATCCCAGCCGGCCATCTTATCGTGGCCCGGCAGAGCTCACATTATCGGTCCATCACTTTTCCGATGCAGGGTGCTTCTGCAAGCAGGGTCACCCGGAAGAGTCCGTGATTTGAAGGATGCATGAGATTTTCGAGCCACAAGCCATTATTGAGTCACGCCATGTCTTGGCCTGCACTTCGGATGTTCTCGAACTTCAATGCCTGACGATTTGCCTGAGGAAATCCTGGGCGTAGGCCGGTCTTGCCCGAGAACTTGCCGTACTTGCCGCTCACATCCAGAATATGCAGAGACATCAGGCCTCTTCCCGCAGTCCAAGCATGCCAAAATCAGTGGGACAATCGCGCAGGCGCAACTACGGGCAAGCTCGTTGTGTTGGCTGTGCTCCGCGCAGAGTCTGCCTGATGGATGTCAGTTGGCAGGTTGTCTGTTCTGAGGGGACGTCGGGGACGAAGGCGCACTTAGATGGTGTGCTCTTGCAGCGTGCAGCCATAGTGCTCTGCTTGGCTTATCCTGGCAGGGCCGCGTGTGTCTCCGGAAAGGCCACGAAGAGATCAGCACGTCTGATGAACAGCACCCGTCGCCACGTGGATTTTCAGCTGTCTGCATGACTTTGCAGGAAACATGGGCATGAAGTCTTTGGGCTGCTGGTCGCCTTCCAACCTCCAGAAGTTGGAATAAGCCTTGAAGCCGCTTCAATGAAGCGATCCTCGCGAAGAGCTTGCAAAAGACACTGCGCAGGGTATCACGAAGCATGTGCAGCCGACAGTGGACCGTCACACACACGAGCGTGAAATCGCCCAGACAGATCGACAGCAGAACCAGTTCCCTACCATGAAGTCCCGACATGCTGGCGTCTGACATGAGGCTTGGTGCTGGCAGCGGTTTTCAATGCCAGATGCGACGCAGTTCAGTAGAACTTCACGCGGCGGAATCGATCTGATGCGCAGCCATTTTGACAACAAGTATTCTACATGTAGTAGTTGAGTGACTAAGTATACTGCATGGCAGCTGCAATCCTTTCCGACGGCTCCCGATCCGAGTTTTCTTTCCATGCACGGCCATTCCCTATGTGGACCGTCAGTGTCTCGGAGGTGCTGCGCATGCGATCTCCGATCCAGCCGCATGAAAAGCTCCTGAGATCGGGACAGCTGGTGTTGCACGAGCCAGAGTTTTATACAATTTTTGTTTCACACCAGTGGTTGGGAAGGCACCATCCGGACCCAGACGGAAAACAACTCCAAGTGCTCCAGGAGGCGTTGGGCGGCTGCATCTCTGGAAGGCTGCTGAAGGAATCAGACTCGGTTGCAAGATGGTATGTTGGGAACAACCCCACATCAAGCAAGGAGCGTCGAGCAATGCGTGATGGTTACATTTGGCTGGATTGGTTCTGCATTCCACAGAGCCCATCCCAAGAGGCAAAGCAGTCATTCGCCATACAGTCTATTGCATCCTACGTGGGGGATTGCAGTTTGTTCATGGCCTTGGTTCCAGGCCTTCGACATGAATCTGGCAACGTCTGTGATTACGAGTCGTGGCTGCGGCGAGGCTGGTGCTTAGCAGAGCTTTGGTGTACCCAACTATCCAACAGACGAAGCTTGCCCATGATTGTCGTACGTGGTCCTGACGCTGCCGAATTCGTCCTGGCTCTAAATTGGGTCTACACCCTACCACACGAAGGAGACTTTACCATAGAAGCGGATCGAAGTCGCATCAGGGACGTGCTGACGTCATCGGTGGAATCCCGGATTGCATTCCTGGAAGCAAATGAGACAGAGCTTGGCCTTTGCAGGTATTTGAAAGGCAGGCTTCACGACTGGAATCCTGGACATTCCCACACGCCGAGATCCGAAGAGGACTTTTTGTCTTACTTCGGATTCCCGAGCTTGGCAAAGGGCTTGAAAGTCAGACAGATCGGGGCTTTGGCTTGCGCCGTTCTCTCGGACGACATTCCCATGATCCGGAGGCTTGTCCAAGCTAGGGCTTCCGTGGGATCACGTTGTAAACCAGCACTCGTGAATGTAGATGTGCTGACTTGGACGCCCTTGCACCTAGCCGTGCAACGGGGCTCGCGTGCACTCCCAGTCATGGCAGAGCTCCTGCGATTGAGGGCAGATCCTAACTCGACCGATACCATTGGCCTGCCATTGCTGGGCAATAGTCGAGATGCTGCCACAGTTGAGTTTTTGGTTCAGCACCATGCCGATGTGAACTTTCAAAGTGGATTGACCAAGGTGTCCCCACTGGGTCTGAGTGCAGCCAGGGTGTCACCAGCCTCAGTTATCAGCAAGTTTTTGGAGCTGCGCGCTGATATCAACGGCAGCGAAGCCCGCGGGGGTCTTGGACATTCCGTTCTTGTGAACTTAATCTGGAGTACATCGAATCTTCAAAAAGAGGGCGTGGAACTGGCTGCACTGCTTGTCAGCGCAAGAGCAGATGTTAATGCATCGGGTCGTCCAACGGGTCTTTTCCGTTGCCTCGAACTGGGCTATCGGGCAGCAGTCTGCTTGGGCTGCAGAGATTCATATGCTGCCTTTCACGCAAACAGCAGTTCAGGCCCACTTGGCTACGCGGCTTTCACTGGGCAAGTGCCGATGGTCTCCTTCTTGCTTGCTTCAAGGGCAGATCCTGACCTTCCCAATTCGCGCGGCCTGACTCCAAGGCAGCTCGCAGATGCCAGGACCCAACACCTGTTCTCAGCGTGCGATTGTCACCCGACGGATGAGCGTCTCACAGAGGAGTGCCCTCCCGAGAGGCTGACAGATTCCAACCGGCAACCCCTGTTTTGCGAAGACCCGCTCAGTTCCCATGAGTGGGATCCGCCAACGGAGTGCATGCAGAAGCCGTTGCGGAGCAGTCCAGATGAGGCAAGATCTGGGCCAGCACGTCGTTTTGTTTCTCGGTGCTCTGAGGGCTTTGTGGCGGTGAGGCTCTGACAGACTTGGCAACTCCCCTTTTGTGGTGTAGCTTGCCATTCCGACTGCTTGTCACCACCTTCTTGCAGAAGGTTGACATGCATGCAGTTGTTTTAAGAGACCTCATGCACGTGTCTTTGAAGATCTTCTGATTCTTGTTTCCTCGAAGAAAAATGATTTTCCAATTCGTGCAGCCCGACTCCAAGGCAGTACGCAGATACCCAGATCCAACGCCCAATCATCACGTGCGTTTTTCACCCGATGGATGAGCATCCCTCTCCTGAGGGGCTGACAGATTCCAATGCGATCCGCTCTGACAGATTTCCGGCAATTCAGCCATTTCATGTTGCTGCTTGCATCAGCTTACCATTCGCACTGATTGTCATCACATTCTTGCAATGGGGTATATACACATGTCTTTGCAGATCGTTTCTTCCTGTTTGCTCGAAGAGCAAGCTCTGATCTTCCCAACTCGTGCGCCCTGACTCCAAGTTAGCTCGCAGATGCCCAGACCCAGCACCTGCTGTCCGCGTGCATTCTTGACCCGACGGATGAGCATCTCACACAGTAAGTGCTCTCCCGAGGGGCCGAGAGATTCCAACATGCAACCCCTGTTTTGCGAAGACCCGCTCAGTTCCCATGAGTGGGATCCGCCAACGGAGTGCATGCGGAAGCCGTAAAGATCTGGGCCCACACATCTTTTTGGTTCTCGCCCTCAAAGGGGTCCGTGGTGGCGGGGCTCTGACAGATTTTGGAAATTCAGCCATTTCAGGGTGCAGCTTGCCATTCGCTCTGATCGCCATCACGTTCTTGCAATGGGGTACATGTGCCTTCATTCGAGCAAATCCCGATTTTTTCAACATGCTCGCTGTGACTTCAAGGCTATGTTTTAACAGAAGACCCGCTTCACGGTATGTTACATACCTGGCAACTCCCGACGGAGTGTTCCGAAAACTGGAGCCGCTTTGGAGGTTTAGGGTTTGGAAGCGCAACCTGCTCCGTTCTTTTTCGGGCTTTGGCTGTGCGAGCCGTCCCGGGGCATGGTCTCAAAGCCCTATACATGAGCCCCCTGAAGCCGACGTATCAACAAGCTGTGCCGAAACCTTAACTCCCAAGTTAGTCCTGGACTAGAAGCCTCACAACCCTAAACCTTATAATATACCCTTGAACCCCAAGCCCTGAACCGAGCGGAAGGTTGAGGTGACAAGCTTCAGCCCAAGGAGCCTGCATAAAAATCCTGAGAAAGACAAGCGATGCCATGGCAGTCCGATGGGCCAGTCTACGACGTAGATGAGTCATTAAGTGGAAGTGGCAGGGGCCTCAAGAAGAAGCACGTAGGCACAGGAGCGAAGGCGCTTAGATTGCCCGGTGCCCCTGCGGATAGGCAGCGACGTGCCGTTTACCAGCACCTCACCAGGTGGGGGGCCACTCCAAAGGCAAGCTCCGCTACGCCTGTTTGGTGGCGCCTGTCTCGAGCCAGGCGAGGCCTTCACGGACAGCTCGCTGGACGGAGACCCCATCCGCGTGCACAAGAGACTAGGAGGCCGATGATTTGCAGCACCCTTCTTCAGGGCCCTTCTTCAGGGCCTCTGAGCCTCTGAGCCTGCAGGCCCGCCATGGCTGCAAGACGTTCTGCACACAGCCATGGGACCAGTCACCTGCGCTTGTTTTTGGCAAAGCATCCCGCAGTGAGGCCCTGTCTGTGTGGCCACGCGGCAGCTTCCGAGCGCCGCTGGCTCGCTGACTCCAATCTGTTGACTTTCCCTGGTTTGCCAATCTCGAGGCGGTGGATCTGCAGTTGGGGCCGTACTTGTACTGCAGCTTCTGCGGCAGTGGCGGCAGGTGAAGGGAAGCGGATGCCGGTGCCTCTCCGAGTCGGAGCTGATGAGGACCCGAGGGACCCGTCCCGCATCGCCCCGCATGGCCCCGCATCGCCCCGCTCTGACTGCTGCTCTGACGATCGCGTTGCGCGCCCGCTGTCGCAGGAACAAGAGCTTCGTGGGTGGCTTGACTTGTCTCCAGCATCCTCCCCAAGTCTGGCCGCCGGCACTGGCATCGTAGCAGATCGTGATCCAAGGTGACTTGGTGGACGCGCCTCTGCCGATCAGTAAAGTTCCAGAGCCGCTGGAAGACGAGCCAGTAAAGACACGGCCGCCGCCGACGTCCGACTCCTCCGAGGTGCTGTGGGCTCCCCAGATCGCATCGGTCCCGAACATTTCCGGTCCTGGCTTGTCCGGTTGTTCTGCACACTGCAGGGAGACCCCCAAATGCAGCCTGCCAGCAAGAAGAGCGAAGAGGGAATGCTCGCGCGAGGTCCTTGCTGACTTGGGGCAAGGTGGATCCACCGGAGGGCTTCGCTTTTGGCGACATCGTGCGCATCGAGAAATCGTGGCCCGGCAGAGCTCACATTATCGGTCCATCACTTTTCCGATGCATGGTGCTTCTGCAAGCAGGGTCACCGGGAAGAGTCCGTGATTTGAAGGATGCATGAGATTTTCGAGCCACAAGCCATTCATTGAGTCACGCCATGTCTTGGCCTGCACTTCGGATGTTCTCGAACTTCAATGCCTGACGATTTGCCTGAGGAAATCCTGGGCGTAGGCAGGTCTTGCCCGAGAACTGGCCGTACTTGCCGCTCACAACCAGAATATGCAGAGATATGCAGTGCAGGCCTCTTCCCGCAGTCCAAGCATGCCAAAATCAGTGGGACAATCGCACAGGCAAAGCTACGGCTGTGCTTCGCGCAGATTCTGCCTGATGGATGTCAGTTGGCAGGTTGTCTGGACGTCGGGGACGAAGGCGCACTTAGATGGTGTGCTCTTGCAGCGTGCAGCCATAGTGCCCTGCTTGGCTTATCCTGGCAGGGCCGCGTGTGTCTCCGGAAAGGCCACGAAGAGATCAGCACGTCTGATGCCCGTCGCCACGTGGATTTTCAGCTGTCTGCATGACTTTGCAGGAAACATGGGCAGGAAGTCTCTGGGCTGCTGGTCGCCTTCCAACCTCCAGAAGCTGGAATAAAAACTGAGCCGCTTCAATGAAGCGATCCTCGCGAAGAGCTTGCAAAAGACACTGCGCAGGGTACCACGAAGCATGTGCAGCCGACAGTGGACTGTCACACACACGAGCGTGAAATCGCCCAGACAGATCGATAGCAGAACCAGTTCCCTACCATGAATGCCGACATGCTGGCGTCTGACATGAGGCTTGGTGCTGGCAGCGGTTTTCAATGCCAGATGCGACGCAGCTCAGTAGAACTTCACGCGGCGGAATCGATCTGATGCGCAGCCATTTTGACAACAAGTATTCTACATGTAGTAGTTGGGTGACTGAATATACTGCATGGCAGCTGCAATCCTTGCCGACGGCTCCCGATCCGAGTTTTCTTTCCATGCGCGGCCATTCCCTATGTGGACCGTCAGCGTCTCGGAGGTGCTGCGCATGAGATCTCCGATCCAGCCGCATGAAGAGCTCCTGAGATCGGGACAGCTGGTGTTGCAGGAGCCAGAGTTTTATACAATTTTTGTTTCACACCAGTGGTTGGGAAGGCACCATCCGGACCCAGACGGAAAACAATTCCAAGTGCTCCAGGAGGCGTTGGGCGGCTGCATCTCTGGAAGACTCGATTGCAAGATGGTATGTTGGGAACCGCCCCACATCAAGCAAGGAGCGTCGAGCAATGCGTGATGGGTACATTTGGCTGGATTGGTTCTGCATTCCACAGAACCCAGCCCAAGAGGCAAAGCAGTTACTCGCCATACAGTCTATTGCATCCTACGTTGGGGAATGCAGTTTGTTCATGGCCTTGGTTCCAGGCCTTCGACATGAATCTGGCAACGCCTGTGATTACGAGTCGTGGCTGCGGCGAGGCTGGTGTTTAGCAGAGCTTTGGTGTACCCAACTATCCAACAGACGAAGCTTGCCCATGATTGTCATACGTGGTCCTGACGCTGCCGAATTCGTCCCGGCTCTAAATTGGGTCTACAGCCTACCACACGAAGGAGACTTTACCATAGAAGCGGATCGAAGTCGCATCAGGGACGTGCTGACTTCATCGGTGGAATCCCGGGTTGCATTCCTGGAAGCAAATGAGACAGAGCTTGGCCTTTGCAGGTATTTGAAAGGCAGGCTTCACGACTGGAATCCTGGACATTCCCACACGCCGAGATCCGAAGAGGACTTTTTGTCTTACTTCGGATTCCCGAGCTTGGCAAAGGGCTTGAAAGTCAGACAGATCGGGGCTTTGGCTTGCGCCGTTCTCTCGGACGACATTCCCATGATCCGGAGGCTTGTCCAAGCTAGGGCTTCCGTGGGATCACGTTGTAAACCACCACTCATGAACGTAGATGTGCTGACTTGGACGCCCTTGCACCTAGCCGTGCAACGGGGCTCGCGTGCACTCCCAGTCATGGCAGAGCTGCTGCGATTGAGGGCAGATCCTAACTCGACCGATACCCTTGGCCTGCCAGTGCTGGGCAATAGTCGAGATGCTGCCACAGTTGAGTTTTTGGTTCAGCACCATGCCGATGTGAACTTTCAAAGTGGATTGACCAAGGTGTCACCACTTGGTCTGAGTGCAGCCAGGGTGTTTCCAACCTCAACCTCAGTTATCAGCAAATTGTTGGAGCTGCGTGCTGATGTCAACGGCAGCGAAGCCCGCGGGGGTCTTGGACTTCCAGCTCTTGTGAACTTAATCTGGCATTCAAGGAATGCTCACAACACGGCCGTGGAAATGGCTGCACTGCTTGTCAGCGCAAGAGCAGATGTTAATGCATCGGGTCGTCCAACAGGTCTTTTCCGTTACTTGGAACTGGGCTATCGGGCAGCAGTCTGCTTGGGTTGCAGAGATTCACTTGCTGACTTTCACGCGAATAGCAGTTCAGGCCCACTTGGCTACGCGGCTTTCACTGGGCATGCGCCGATGGTCTCCTTCTTGCTTGCTTCAAGGGCAGATCCTGACCTTCCCAATTCGCGCGGCCTGACTCCAAGGCAGCTCGCAGATGCCAGGACCCAACACCTGTTCTCAGCGTGCGATTGTCACCCGACGGATGAGCGTCTCACAGAGGAGTGCCCTCCCGAGAGGCTGACAGATTCCAACCGGCAACCCCTGTTTTGCGAAGACCCGCTCAGTTCCCATGAGTGGGATCCGTCAACGGAGTGCATGCAGAAGCCGTTGCAGAGCAGTTCAGATCAGGCAAGATCTGGGCCAGCAGGTCGTTTTGGGTCTCGGTGCTCTGAGGGCTTTGTGGCGGTGAGGCTCTGACAGACTTGGCAACTCAGCCCTTTTATGGTGTAGCTTGCCATTCCGACTGCTTGTCGAAGAATAATGATTTTCCAATTCGCGCGGCCCGACTCCAAGGCAGCACGCAGATACCCAGATCCAACACCCAATCACCACGTGCGTTTTTCACCCGATGGATGAGCATTTCTCTCCTGAGGGACTGACACATTCCAATGCGATCCGCTCTGACAGATTTCTAGCAATTCAGCCATTTCATGTTGCTGCTTGCATCAGCTTACCATTCGCACTGATTGTCATCACATTCTTGCAATGGGGTATATACACATGTCTTTGCAGATCGTTTCTTTCTGTTTGCTCGAAGAGCAAGCTCTGATCTTCCCAACTCGTGCGGCCTGACTCCAAGGCAGCTCGCAGATGCCCAGACCCAACGTTTGTCGTCCGTGTGCGTTCTTCACCCGACGGATGAGCATCTCACACAGTAAGTGCTGCAACCCCTGTTTTGCGAAGACCCGCTCAGTTCCCATGAGTGGGATCCGCCAACGGAGTGCATGTGGAAGCCGTTAAGATCTGAGCCCACACATCTTTTTGGTTCTCGCTTTCAAAGGGGTCCGTGGTGGCGGGGCTCTGACAGATTTTGGAAATTCAGCCATTTCAGGGTGCAGCTTGACATTCGCTCTGATTGCCACCACGTTCTTGCAATGGGGTACGTGTGCTTTAAATCCGAGCAAGTCCCGATTTGTTCAATATGCTCGGCGTGACTTCAAGGCTATGTTTTAACAGAAGACCCGCTTCACGGTATGTTACATACCTGGCATCTCCCGACGGAGTGTTCCGAAAACTGGAGCCGCTTTGGAGGTTTAGGGTTTGGGGTTTGCTATGGTACCATGAAGCGCAACCTGCTCCGTTCTTTTTCGGGCTATAGCAGTGCGAGCCGTCCCGGGGCATGGTCTCAAAGTCCTATACATGAGCCCCCTGAAGCCGACATCTCATAGTATCAACAAGCTGTGTCGCTAGAAGCCTCACAACCCGAAACCTTGTAATGTACCCTTGAACCCCAAGCCCTGAACCGAGCGGAAGGTTGAGGTGACAAGCTTCAGCCCAAGGAGCCGGCATAAAAATCCTGAGAAAGGGAAGCGATGCCATGGCAGTCCGATGGGCCAGTCTACGACGTAGATGAGTCATTAAGTGGAAGTGGCAGGGGCCTCAAGAAGAAGCACGTAGGCACAGGAGCGAAGGCGCTTAGAAATCTTAGATTGGCCGATGCCCCTGCGGATAGGCAGCGACGTGCCGTTTACCAGCACCTCACCAGGTGGGGGGCCACTCCAAAGGCAAGCGCCGCTATGCCTGTTTGGTGGCGCCTGTCTCGAGCCAGGCGAGGCCTTCACGGACAGCTCGCTGGACGGAGACCCCATCCGCGTGCACAAGAGACTAGGAGGCCGATGATTTGCAGCACCCTTCTTCAGGGCCCTTCTTCAGGGCCTCTGAGCCTCTGAGCCTGCAGGCCCGCCATGGCTGCAAGACGTTCTGCACACAGCCATGGCACCAGTCACCTGCGCTTGTTTTTGGCGAAGCATCCCGCAGTGAGGCCCTGTCTGTGTGGCCACGCGGCAGCTTCCGAGCGCCGCTGGCTCGCTGACTCCAATCTATTGACTTTCCCTGGTTTGCCAATCTCGAGGCGGTGGATCTGCAGTTGGGGCCGTACTTGTACTGCAGCTTCTGCGGCAGTGGCAGGTGAAGGGAAGCGGCTGCCGGTGCCTCTCCGAGTCGGAGCTGATGAGGACCCGAGGGACCCGTCCCGCATCGCCCCGCATGGCCCCGCATCGCCCCGCTCTGACTGCTGCTCTGACCCGCTCTGACGATCGCGTTGCGCGCCCG